TATAAAAAGTGAAGATCTTGACCTTTTCTCAGATTCAGAGGATAGAAGTTCAGGTGATTTTGTGATGAGACATGGATTATGGTAAGCCTCATGGACAACAAAACTTAGGGGTTTTTTTGTTTTACTTTTTAAATTGTATTTGTTTAGAAGCTTTGACTGTCTTTAAATACTTGGAGAAACATTCAGCTGAGATGCAAAGTTGTATGTCATAAAGCAGTGGTTCTTAAATGATAATGTACATAAGAAAAACCTATGGATCAAAGCTAGTTAAAAATTTGATTCCTAGGGCTCATTCCTAGAAACACTTATTCAGTGAAATATGAATGGGGACGAGGGATTTTTTTAAGCTTACTGGATAAATCTGATGTAAAGTTTATAGACCTCACTTTGAAAAATTCTGCTACTGCTCACTGAACAAATTGTTTTGTCTTAGTATTGTAAAGATAGCTGCTCTTGGTGCATCTGCCCAGCAATCATTAAACCAAATAGGAGTTTTTTCAGTTCTGGTGATGTGAGACAGGTAGGTTATTGACCCTTTACCCGTAGTGCAAGTTAATTAACAAGGTTCTTTTCTTTTCCTTATGAAATGGGAGACAGTAAATAAAGGGAACCTAAAGGCTTTGCCCACTGGAGTCTGTTATCCCAAGTACACACGATAATGCTAAATTCACACCAACACTCAAATTTGTGATTTATTTGTTCATTCAGCAGATGGTAAGAACTATGACCCAGGCACCATGGTGGACCGTGGACTCTAGTCACTGGATTCCTCTCAGAGACCACCCCGTTGGATAAGAGGAACAGTCCAAAAGCAGGTAGGGAAGATTTCCATTCTGACACAAACTCACGAGTACACCACAGTCCAACTCTGTGTTGAGGCCCCGTGTGAATATCTCCATTCCACCACCACCCACCACCCCCTGTGCATGATGGCGGTTGTTCAGTTGCTAAGCCATGTGCGATATCCCTGGACAATACCAAAGCTGGGTAGAAACAATAACCCTGGATGCTGAAATCTGAGATTTCCACGTGCAACTGAAGCAATGAGAAGGCTGGTTTAATCTAACGGGCCCTGTTTGTTGAATTTTCATTTTTCTATTGTCCAATACTTCCTGAATTCCTTGAAGCAGGTCCCATAAACCCTCAAGCCTGCTTCTCCAGGCAATGTAATGGGATTCACTAATACTACTGTATTTCAGAGTAATAGCTCATCCAAAGTGTGTTGAACTCCTTATAGTAGTTAACTGCTAACAAAAATCAGATTAAGGTAAAATGAATGGAAGGGAGTCTGCATTTTACTATCTTGAGCATTTATTTTAGATCTGTAGATAGAGCCTGCTTAGAGCCCAGCACTGTTTTTTGTTTGTTTGTTTTTTTCTAAAAAGGTTGAACTATTTCCATCACGTTTCTCTAATTTTTCTTGACTATCAAGAAATCTTAAAATGTTTTATGTTCGTTTCTAACAGTTTTCTTAAGTCTAACTTCTCTGAACAGTGATTTTCCTCATCATGTGCCTTTTTATTCAGTTTTTATTGCTCTTTGTGATGATGTTTGGGACCTTTTTGTATTTCTGTGTTTTATTAAAGTTCTCCTAGATCCCTTTTAGACACACGAGAGTATAACTGGATGGTAATATGATTGGTACTTGAATATCAAAGTAAGACAATTGTCACTGCAAATATGCAGAATTTATAAAAAGAATGAAGGTAAGCTCCTTGCACCACTCCTCTTAGATACTTTAGGCAGATCAAGGATGTAAATGAGGTCAGAGTCAGGAGGAGAGATTATGATAAAATTTATAAAGAGGAAGTGATAAAAATAGCTATCATCGAAAGACCACAAATAACAAACGTTGGCAAGGATGTGGAGAAAAAGAACCGTCCTACATTGTTGGTGGGAATCTAAATTGGTGCAGCCACTATGGTGAACAGTATGGGGTTCCTCAAAAACCTAAACATAGAACTATAGTATGATCCAGCAATCACTCTCCTAGGTATACGTCCAAAGAATCAAAAACACTAATTTGGAGTGCATGTATTATTTCAATGTTCATAGCAGCATTATTTACAACAGCCAAGCCATGGAAGTGACTCAAATGGATCCACCAATGGATAAATGGATAAAACTGTGGATTATATATAGTGAAATATTACTCAGATGTCAAAAAGAATTAAATAATGCCATTTGAAATAACATAGACCATGATCCTTAGTGAAATAAGTCAGAAAGACAAATACTGTATGTTATCATTTATATATAAAATCTTAAAAAAAGCAAACGAATAAACAGGAATAGACTCGCAAATATGGAGAACAAACTAGTGGTTACCAGTAGGAAGAGGGAAGGAAGGGCAAGACAGAAGTACCAGATTAACGGTACAAATTACCATGAAAAAAATAAATAAGCTACCAGGATACATTGTACAGCACAGGGGATTTAGCCAATATAATATCTTTCAGTGGACTATATAAAAATTTTGAATCACTATGTTGTTCATCTGAAAGTAATACAATAAATCAAACTATCTCAAGTAGAAAACTTTAAAAAAAATAAGTGTTCATATGGCCAACAATATCTTTGATGTATACTTACATTCTTTAGACCACAAACACTACCCCGTTAACCCACAGATATGTCAGTTATAGTCTACTTACCAACATATACTTTATTATTGGTATAAAATTTAAACAACTATTTGAAGAAACAAGGAAACAGAGTATACATTGAAAAGCAAGCCTGAAATTACAACACTAGGGAAATTTAAAGGTCATCTGTTGGTAGCTTTTGGTTGCAACTGTGGAGACCTCTGCTTGCCCTGAGAAATAACTAATGGGTGGGGCTCTTGCTAAGCAGTATGACAATTTCACTTTCTCCCTTGCCTACCCTGATTGTTCCAAGAATAAGTCAGGAACCAAGAGGCTTTATTGAGAAGGAGAGTTTTATAAGCAATGGTGTGCTGGTGAATAGACTTTCCAAAAAGAAAAGCCCTGATTGCCAATTCCCATGGTATAAATAGTCCCACTATAGCCAATTTCAAGGATGACTATATTTCATAGCCAGAATGTGCAAGTTTTGAAAATATACCAATCAGTTCTTAAGAACAGGGATTCCCTACTGGCTCAGATGGTAAAGAGTCTGCCTGCAATGCGGGACACCTGAGTCAGATCCCTGGATCAGGAAGATCCCCTGGAGAAGGAAATGGCAACCCACTCCAGTATTCTTGCCTGGAAAATCCCATGGACAGAGCAGCCTGGTGGGCTACAGTCCATAGGGTCACAAAGAGTTGGACACGACTGAGCAACTTCACTTTCTTATCAGCTAGTGCTGGCCCACTCCATCACACTACTGCTTATAACTCAACAATGATTAACACAGCAAGTTTCCATAAATATATGTCATATAACTTTAATTTCCTGAGAAAATATACAGATGCAAGAGGAACCAGGCATCCAAGTCTTTGGCCCAACAAGTACTCAACAGACTTCATTAAAAAAAAAAAATACTAAGAAGCACCTTGGCCTCAGGCTTAGTTTGCTCCTAAGCAGACAATACAAATATTTTTAAATTAGCTTTATATGGTGATATTATTAACATACTATAGCTTTTTACAAATATCCATAAATATCTTAAACTGGGTTATCATGTAATCATATTACATACCTTTCAACAAGAACCCGTAAGCAGCTAGTTAATTTAGTAGAGTCCAAAACTTTAGCAGACCATCATTGAGTTGAATGCTATTCATTATTTTTGGAACTTAATACATTTGACCAAGACAGGCTTTACAAAGTGAGGGAGGGAGTTTGGTTGAAGTCAGTCCTGAACAACAGCCCATGCTCCCGATTCCAGGTAAGGAAAGGAAAAGAAGTGTTTGAGAAAGGAAGGCACTGGTGTAGCTTCCCTCTATCTGCCAAGGGACTATATACCCTTTGAAGATCTAATCCGCTAAACTTTATAGACATCCAACATGAGAGCAGAAACACCAACCCTAAAGCTAAAATAGTGTGATACAGTGGGAAGCCCAAGGGCCCTTGTTAATCACTCGTTCTGTGGGGTGAAGCAAGTTACCTATGGTCCACCTGCCTCCATATTCTCAATGTTAAAATTGTGCCAAAATATCTGCCCTGTTAACTTTCTAGAGTTGCCATGTGATATATGAAAGTACTTTGCAAACTGCCTAGCCAGCTAAAAATACAGAATCATGACATGAAAAAATACAGTACTGGTAATATCAATTTCTATGGTTAAATCTTATGATTAGTAATGATTACTCTTTCTTTACCATCAGCCATGTTTAGGCACATAGACAAACAAGTTCTCATGAAGCCCTATGTAAAGGTTCAGAATGACCCTTTTGACCAGCTGTTTTTATAAAGCACCAAGCATCCTGAGTGTGATTAAATTGAGAAAAATTCCCGAATAAAGTGCATCCCATTCTAATGCCACCTGTGTCTCTGTCCCAATAGTTCTCCAGAGGTGTCTCTGTCCCCTCATGCCATCAGATGTAAAGTGGAGTATTGCTGGCATAGCAGTGGCCACCCTCCAAGTCTGACTACTATTTTATTAGGAGGGTCTCAGAAGATAGGAATATGGGAAGAATGAAGTCAAGCAATCCACAGTCCAAGAATATGAGAACAAGGGCAGGCTACTGCCCTGGATCTTTTCTGCATACAAGACAAGACTTCATTTTTCTACCCAGAGATTCAAGGGTTAGATAAAGACACTTGGAGAAGATTCTGTCCTCTAACCACCCATATTCATTTCATGAACTAATAAAACTGTCTTTGCTGATCTAACATCAAGGGTTACCAAATGTCTTTTGTCCTTCTTCTGAGTCTCATTCAGATAGGCATGAGAAAAGAAAATTCACATGCAAGGAGTTTTGTTTCTGTTGATTTGTATACTCAGATGAACTGTAGAGACTGAAAATCTTCCTTGTCCAGCCTATGCACTGATGTCTCTGCAAGTGCTGACGAAGACGAGGAGACTGAATCAAGTCTCTAGGAGATGAATTGGGAATTTGCAAGTAGAAAGATCCCCCAGTATGTCTTATTTTTCAGAATCTGATGCTCAGCATTGAATATCAAGTCTATTACATCTCCAGCATGGAATTCGTAAGCCCCTCCTACATTCTGGATCGTAGAGTTGTTGGTTAGAGCTTGTATGGGGTCTTCATTCTTACGCAGCTGCACCTCAAAAGGAGCTCGTCCCTTGTAGGCTGTATTGGGAGCCACTTGGCCATAAATTAAATATAAACCATTCTGAAGTATCTTCAGCCTCCAGTCAGCTGTCTTATTCACACAAGAAGGTTCAGGAGAGGGCATTTGCCATTTTGAAGGTAATGGTCCTACAAGATATTTATAAGGGTGGCGGAGGGGGCAGGGAGGGAGAAAAAATAGCAAAGCATAGTTATTTAATTATTTCATCATCTTCATGATTATAGTTCTTTTCTATTTATAGGAAAGGTCTATACTAGTTCTCTCCAAACCCAATTTCAAGTATCTCCCACTCCCTACTTTGAAGAAATTGCCTAAGTTTCTCTCTTGCTTGGAGGGCTGTAAGAAAATAAGTTTGGAATAGGGAAATGGGTTAAGTTTTAGGTGGCACTGTATCACTTGTCAATAGATATTTGTGAAGTAAAAAGAAGAAGAAAGGAATGACACACTAGGAGGGTGATGACCAGAGTTGGCAGTCCAGGAATGCATATTCATCTTTTTCTGTATCAATACTATATACTATGTATCACTTTATCAATGAGGCCTGTGCATCAATCTGTTTAAAGCAGTGCTCTCCTGTCACTCTCTCTATCTTGTTTTAGTTTTCTTCATAGAAGTTGTCACCATCTAGCCTATTATAAATTACGTTGTTCATGTATTATCAATCTTATAACATATTTGAGAACAAAGGAAAAGTGAGGTTGCTCAGTCGTGTCCAACTCTTTGCAACCCCATGGACTGTAGCCTACCAGGCTCCTCCATCCATGGGATTTTCCAGGCAAGGGTACTGGAGTGGGTTGCCATTTCCTTCTCCAGAGGATCTTCCCCACCCAGGGATTGAACCCAGGTCCCCTGCATTGTAAGCAGATGCTTTACCATCTGAGCCACCAGGGAAATCAAATACTCCTTTATTTTGTCCATGGATGTATCTTCAGCACCAAAAGGAGTTCCTACTACCCAGTATATGCTGAATTAGGTGTATTGTGTCTAAATAATGGCGCTTCAGCTTATGGGTATGTGTCATTCAAGATTCACTTGAGATACCATTATCCAAATCCTCACCAAATAGCTACTGGTAAATTAATGAGTTAATATGTGGAAATTATTTGACTGTTTAAATAGAAGTATCCCTAGGTTATTGCTATCACAGGGGATGTGAAAAGGATTAAGACTTTGGTATTTATGAAATTTACATATTTTCCTAATGTTCATTGTTTTTACACAATGATGTAATTTCAGAATCCCAGAATGTGCAATACTTATCTGGCGTGTTCTCTAACGTTATATAATTTTTGTAATGGGGGCAAAGCCTTTGTCAAATAATTAGAAAGAAACCTTGATAAAAAAATATACTAAAAGAGATAACACATTGGCTTAAATTCTTCTTTATGTATAAATAACTGATATAAGGCTTGAAGGAGAATGAAGGAGAGATCATTAAAGCAGAAAGCAAAGTCTCCCTGTTTCTCCACTAAATCCAGAGCCCAGTAAATTTCTTCCTGCTTGACCATGTAATAGGTAATAGGCAAGTCACCAGGAAGAAGTATCACTGGTTTTCATATTTAAATCTATGATGGGGGTCCTCAACTTTAAAGTTGAATTTCTCAACTTTTACCACAAGAAGAAGGTATTTCAAACATAACATGAGAAGTTTCACTCCATTCACTAGAAAAACAACAAATCAAAAAGCCAGAGACAAGTAAAATGAGATTCCCTATCCTCACAAGTCAAGGAAGCCTACCTGTGCTGTGCAGTAAAACAGGAATTAAAGTTGACTCTAGAAGTGGTCTGCTCTCAGCGGACAATGGGTGTTTGATCTTAAACAAGTAAACAACCCCAAATGTATTCATTTTTAATTTTGTATGTATACTAAAAAACTACCCAAAGGCTCAACTGTAAACTTTACTGTGTCTTCTAAGCAAGTACCAGGTCACTATAAAGGAAACTGACTCAGGAGCTAAGAGGAGAGGTAAGAGGAGCAGAGAAGGGACCACTCCCCTCTCATTTCTCATCTTTACACTTGGAAACAAAAATTGCACCCTACACTCACTCTAGTGGACACTAGCAATATGGGAAATGTGAGAAGGTCTCTGAGTCTGTCCCAGGGAAAAGTCATAGGAATCTGAAACTTGTGCTTATTAAAACAATTAAAAACAGAGCTGAAGCCTCAGCTCCTAGACAACTACAATACAGGATTAGCAGTTAAAAACAGTAGCTGTAGGATAACTCAAATAGAATGCATCCTTTCTTAGCACTGGAGCTTGCCTTCTGCAGCAAATAGAAAAGTAAAAAGGAGGCCTATAAGACAGTTCAGTTTAGTTAGTCGCTCAGTCGTATCTGACTCTGTGCAACCCCATGGACTGCAGCATACGAGGCCTCCCTGTCCATCACCAACTCCCAGAGTTTACTCAAACTCGTCCATTGAGTCAGTGATGCCATCCAACCATCTCATCTTCTGTGAGATAGGTTACTCACCAAACTTCGCTACACAGGGTCCCTGGGCAGTCTGTAGGGGAAGAAGAGGAATTGGTCAGGATGGTGACAGTGTCACAGTTTTCTTGATTATTTAGAGGCTCGGATTCCTGAAGCAGACTTCTCTGCCCTAACCACATTAAAAAAATAAAAAATCCCTCCCTCCACCCTGTTTTGGATCTCTCTGCTTTCCTTTACAGATGAATGGCTCCTTTCTCTACCTTTCATTACACAGCTAGGTCTTCACTACACAGCTTGGGTCTTCTAGGAAGAAGTTAAGAACTCCTTCTACCCACCTAATCTCCACCTACAGGACAACTATTTGATCTTGGATGCTCCTCCTCTTGGGCTATAGAAATTTTCTATATGTCTCTGCACCCCAGTGACTGCATAAGATGATCCACTGGCATGTGAGAAGAAACTAACAATTCCCATTTATATTTATTTTAAATAAAAGATTAAGCTATAGAAATATTTATTAATATTTCAGAGTGATAATCATGCATCACACTTAGTAACTGAGGAGATCTGTTTCAAAATCTTGCAACACAAATTACATGCCACAGGAAACTATCAGTGTGGTTGATTTTATAAATACAGATATTTTAATACTAAAGGCTTTAAGATACTTAGTAGTAAGATAAGGTATAGCCACAAACATTTGGGGGGAGGGGCATGGTTCATTGGTTTCCTTGCAGCAAACTGCTTAAGAGACTTTTGAGCTTAAACAGGATGCCAATTTTTTTATAGGATTTATCTGGCTGCTATGCTAGGAATACATCAAAGAGTGGCAAGAGAAAAAGCAGTGAGACAAGGTAAGAGATCAGTGTAAGCATCTAGGTAAGAAAGCATGGTGCCTCTGACCAAGGTACTAGCTGTGCAGACGGTGGTAAGTGATTGGAAACTGAGTGAACAGGAGTTCCTGACATGGACATGAATGAGAAAAGGAGACAAAGATGACACCAAAATCTGGGCCTGAGCAATTAGAAAGATAACACTGTTAATGACTGAAATGAGCAAGATTTAGGAGGAATAAATTGGGGGAAAAGAATCATGAGTTCATTTTTTGGACATGTCAGGTTTGTGATGAGTATTAGATACCCAGGTAGGAGTGTCAAGAAGGCAATTGGATCTATAATGATGGAATTTAAGGAGTTCTAAAAAAAAAACATTAATTTAGCAGTCTTCAGCTTCTGCATGGTGAGTTAAGATATGAGTCTATATAAGAGCATCAAATCAGTGATTATAGATAGGAAAGAGTATTGGGATATTGCAGTGTGTAGGGGTCAGGGAATAAGAAAGAACCCACAAAGGAGACTCAGAAGGAAAGGCCACCTTGGTAAGGATTTTAATTATGAACTATGGAATTTTAAGTTGTCTAAGGAAGGAAAAAAAAATTATGAATGGAGTGAGGGACTATTAAGTTATTTAAAAAGGAACTTTGCACTATTGAATGATGGACTTAAAATTTAGTGTCATAACATGGTACGCATACTCAAAGATCCAGTCTTCCATTTTGATCTATATTTCTTCATGAGGTGATTTTTCAGTTATGACAGTCAACACCATGAATCAAGGTAAATTAACTTAGACTATAACTTTCAATTTCATGTATTAAAAAGTGTTAAACTAAGATTAAGAAAATAAAAGAAACATTTATCAAATTACTATAATACTATTTCAATTGTTTTAGAAATGTTTATATTATATAATTGCCTATTATACAAGTACAATATTTTGGTAAAAGCAAAACATTTTTGCACTGTGAATAAATCACATTAAGCATATTTCTTGGTTTATCCTTATAAATTTATATTGTGTATCTTTTTAATATACAAAATATTAGAACCTGTATAAGACTTAGCAGTTAGCATACATATTGGGATTGTAGTCAATAACATTTTGTTGATAGAGTTTCTTAGAAGACATGCTGAAATATCATTTTGTTTAACCCATGTGATAAGAACTCCCTTAACTTCAATTTTCTCATTTATAAAATGGGGAAAATAGCAGTACCTAGTCCATTTAAGTTGTTTATGGGTTTAAATGAGTTAAGTCTCATAAAGGATTTTGCCCAAATATTCTGTCTTGTCCTGCTTATTAAGTATTAGTGTTTTGATGATGATGTTGATTATAATGAAGAATGAAACAAAACTTTATGTACCTATACATTATACTAGCATTGTAAGCAAGAGAAACTAATGTCATCTATGATCATTGCTTCTTAAGAAGTTTATCACCTTTCTAGAAAGACACATATCAACACATGAAGCAATTGAGTAACAATCTAAATATAAAATCATGCCCAAAAATGTGCCATTGATAACATCTGTGTTGTCTACTCTCATGTATAGAGTGTGGGAAGAAACCAAGGCCACACACAAATTAATTGCCAGAGACAGAAATCTTGGATACTGCATTGTGGGCTGCTGTAATGTCCATTTAGAACTACAGAAACCACCATTGTGATATTATGTCATTATTGTCACAAGTGAAAATCTGTCTAATCACTAAAATCCTCTATTTGGCAGTAAGACACACTCTTTGGTTGAGGCAGTAGAATAGATAAGCAAGGAATACCCATTTTGTTAAGTCTTTATCTTCACTGTAAAGTCATTAATGATATAAATATGAATCACTACTATCTATTAAATGCCTATTATCGTTCAGGATTGTACTGTCTCTTAATTCTTACTACAACTCTATGAGATGACATGTTCATTTGCAGAAGAGGAAATGAGAAGTAAGAGGATTATGTAACTAGCCCAAGGTCACGCAGCTGAAAAAAGGCCAGGCTGAGATCCAAACAGCCTATCTGAGTCAAAAGTCTCACCCCTACTGCTCCAGAGCAGTTTGTATTTCTAATCCTGGTGATATTTGGAAGGAGTAAATATCCACTTATAAAGCAGTATATGAGTCCTGTTTAGTTAATTCATTTTTGCTTAGAAGGATCATTGGCTCTTGTAACCCTATTTTGATTTAAGCTCAGATTTATGTAATTGGGTTAATAAGTAAACTTAATAACTATTTCTCCAAACCAACTCTAATCAAATCATAATTTGGAAATAGAATCTACTCTGCTTTTAAGTACACACAAAACTTCCCCTTTTGAAAGTATCCTTTGTTTCACTGAAGCAGGGGACTCTCCTGAACATTTGGTTTCTTTTTTTTTTTTGCTGTGAAGGTATTTTTTATTTTTTTTAAATTAATTTATTTATTTTAATTGGAGGCTAATTACTTGACAATATTGTAGTGGTTTTTGCCATACATTGACATGAATCAGCCATGGGTGTACTTGTGTTCCCCATCCTGAACCCCCTCTCCCACCTCCCTCCCCATCCCATCCCTAAGGGTCATCCCAGTGCACCAGCCCTGAGCACCCTGTCTCATGAATCGAACCTGGACTGGTGAACATTTGGTTTCTTAAGAGATAATTTCTGTGAAGTTATTTTCATGTAGGGTGGGGAACCATCTCCTTGGACTCATAACTGATTCTTTCAGTGAGATGTCTTCTGAAAGAAAGGGAAGAAAGAAAAAAAGAATCCTCCCATGGAAACTTCTGTTGGTCTAAAAAGATCTGAGTCTTCCTGTCTAATACTTTTTGAATTAGTGCCTAGAGAGGCTGGAAAGTGGGATTTTGTATACAATAACCAGAGGGGAGACTAAAACAATGTAAACTCCAAGGTCATGGAGCATTATAAGGAGGTGGAAGTGGCTGCCTCATAATGACTCATCACCCACAGTCATTCGGTCTTCTTTTCCAAAAATACTAATCTGTGGCCAATAGGGAAAGAGAAGTGCAGGAAAGTGGAATATGGGAGCTAATATTGTACCATCAGCCAGTCATTGGCTTTTCCCATGGGAACAAAGCTTCCATGGCACCCTGTCAGGACAATATCCTGAAAACTTTTCAAAATTCCCCAAATTTGGAACAAACTCTGGGCTGTTTCTTTAGAGGCAGAACCTTTCATTGGGTAGCTGCAAGTTGTCTAGGAGAGGGAATCCCAGAAATAAGAGCTCAGACACAGGGGATTCATCAAGTTCAATGTTGGCAAGAGGTGTCCTAAATGCCTCTGGGGGTATGAGACCTCCTCCTTCCCTTTGCAAGAACAGCTGTGTGCCTCTGAGAAAGGCACTTCTCTTCTCTCCCAGGCACTGAGTCCCCAGTCACATGCAGGAACTGATGACAAAGGAAACCTACCCTATGTTTTTCAATGTCATCAGGCTAATAGGATGTGCAGTGGTTTTGAGAAGGAAAAGGCACTTCCAAATTTAAGTTGTTGCTATTCTCACCCTTCCCTTTCTTCAGAAATTGAAACAAAGAATTCCTAACAATTTTTTTTTTCTTCCTGCTCAAAGCTTCACTGTCCAGAGAGTTCAGAGGTCTGTTTTGAACATTCCTTGAGACAGTGGGGGATGTGGTCACAAATTCCTCTCTCGTACACCATTGTGTACAATTATAAAGTACAAACTAATGGGCTACTGTATAAAAACTTGGCCAAACCTCTGCTTGCCCTAGGTTAACATCAGCATCTTCTCTACTGTTTCCTCCTGTGTCTTTTCTGAATTGTTTTTTTTTCCATTTATTTTTATTAGTTGGAGGCTAATTACTTTACAATATTGTAGTGGTTTTTGCCATACATTGACATGAATCAGGCATGAATTTACATGTGTTCCCCATCCCGATCCCCCCTCCCGCCTCCCTCTCCATCCCATCCCTCTGAGTCTTCCCAGTGCACCAGCCCTGAGCACTTGTCTCATGCATCCAACCTGGGCTGGTGGTCTGTTTCACCCTTGATAGTATACTTGTTTCAATGCTGTTCTCTCAGAACATCCCACACTCGCCTTCTCCCAGAGTCCAAAAGTCTTCTGTACATCTGTGTCTCTTTTTCTCTCAATTGCTTTCAAATATCTTTAGTGGTAGAACCATGTCTTTGAAATCTTAACTGGTCAACCTGTCCCTTAGAAAAATTTTTCTGCAGTCACTGGTTTCAGATGTACCCAGGAATTGGCTAAATCCTAAATTAAATAAGGCATTTATTTTCTTTCTGATCAGCACTGTGTAAACAACAGTCAGAAAAAACTTCTACTAAGAATCTAGTGAATCTCCATTCCCTTCACTAGACCCAAAATTTGGAGTGGAACTCAGTGGGAAATTCCTGATAAGCATCAGGGGTTTCCCAAAAAAGGAAGTACTTCCTCCTCCCTCCATGAAGCCTTCCCTGATCAATGTAGACCTAAATCATTGCCCCCCTCTTGACTCCCTTTATGTTCTATACCACCCTTAGAAAAATTATTAATCACTGTATTTTATAGCTAGAAGGGACATGATGATGAACAAATCCATTTCCCTACCACCATTTTTCAGATGAAGAAACCGAGAACCAGAAAGATTAGATGTCTTTCAAATGCATACAGCTAGTTATTGAGAGACCTAAACCCATTCGCATCTTCTTACTCCCAGTTCAGTGCTTTTCTCTTCTGAAAGATAGACTGCACCATCTATTACTTACCTCACATGTCTCTTTCTTCAAAGCTCTAACAATATTGAGTGACAATGCTAACAACTAGACTTAACAAAAGAAAAGAGGAGTGCAATAAATTGTAACCTTAGATTCTGCTGTCTCCTTACCTTGAGTGGAAGAAAAGTAAAGATTAGTGCACTGAAGGAGCAAAGTAATAGCAGAACAGTGACTGTCGAGTAGAGGAGCCACTGCTTCCAGGACGGTCTCTGTGCTCCGCGAGGACTTGAACGGCCGAAAGGCATATTCTCCATGTGGCTCAAACTCATTCTCTGCAGGAATGAGAGCTGTGGAAAGCAGAAATTCACAAGTGATGAGCCCATGGTGCAGCTAGTCAGTTTTGTAGAATAGTATGCTAATTAGCAGTGGGTGTAAGAGGCGGGGTTTTCCTCCTGATGCGGTGAGTTGGAAAAGGATACTTCCAGGCTAAGTGCTGACTCTTCCTTGGCACTAGGCCCAATGCACAGGGCTAAAAGCCAATACAAACACAGAGGATTAAAAGAAGAAAACGAGGGAAGTTAAAAGGGGAAAATATTATTTCCTAAAGCCAGAACAACTACGGAACTGGGCAGTATTACAAATTATTTCCAGATAATTACTTTTTGTAAGGAAAAAATAAAGTTCAAGATTAAGCCCTATTATACTCCAAATGTATATGTGTGAGGCAGTCGATTAGGGAGGCTGGGATGCATGGTTTGGAAAAAATAGTTTCATGGATTTCTAGGGCATAAAATGTGTTCATTCAAAGATAGTCTCTAGAAAACACCAAGTGTATTACTAGAATTTAATTTTTAAAATGTCAATACATCAAGCTTAATTCTTTTATACCTCACCATTTTGAAACAAAATTCAATGCTGGCATGAAACAGAAATCAAATTATCATAAAAAGATATTTTCTTGCACCCTATCCTCCAGTCTGAGCTTACACTCTATTCCAAAAACCTGAAGCTTTCATCCTGGAATCAAAAATATTGATTTATTGCAAAATTGAGGAAGTCTCCTGGTTCTCTGTACTCAGTCTTTCCATCTGTTAAATGGAATACCTGCCTTCTCCCCTCACCTCCCCCCCCCCATACACACACATAACGTCAGAATTATGTGCTAGAAAGAACAAGGGTTTTTAAGACAGACCTGAGAGAGGAAGCTCTTATCTGCTCAGTGGCCATCAGCATATTCTTCATTTCCTTCATGGTAAAATGGAGAAAATTTCCACTCCATAAGGCTTTTCTGAGAATGAAAGAGATGTAAAGTTTTGGCTAAGAAGTGTTCCATAAGTGCTTCTCTCTTCACCCTTCTGAGAGATGTTGTCAAGACTGAATCAATTATGAAATCCTAGAAAAGAATGATTTTTAAAATATTTACCATAGGGTGTAATTCATCTGATGTTCTTTCAAATAAAAGTAGGTAAAAAATATTTTGAAGAAAAAATTTCTAAGAATCAAAGTTTTGCGGGTTTTTTTGTTTTTTTTTTTTTTTAATTAGGGGAAAAGCCTATTGAACATCCTCATTTCTGAAAGAGGATGCTAAGGATAAGAGAACTTGAGGACTTCCCTGGCGGTACAGTGGATAAGGGAGAAGGAAATGACAACCCACTCCAGTATTCTTGCTTGGAAAATCACATGAATGGAGGAGCCTAGTAGCCTACAGCTCACGGAGTCGCAAAGAGAAGGACACGACTGAGCGACTAACACATACAGTGGATAAGAACCCACCTGTCAATGCAGGGCACATGGGTTTAATCCCTGGTCTGGGAAGATTTCACATGCTGCAGAGTGGCTAAAGCCTCTGTGCTGCCGCTACTGTGCTCCACACCGTAGAGCCTGGGAGCACCAACTACTGAAGCCTGCGTGCCCAGAGCCCAGCTCCACAACAAGAGAAACTACTGCAATGAGAAAACTGTGTACCACAAAGAGTAGCCCCTGGTCGCCACAACTAGAGAAAACCAGCGTTTAGCAACAAAGACCCAGCACAACCAAAAACTAAATAAATTTAAAAAGAAAAAAAACTTTGAGAGATGTATCACACCATTAATGACTGGGTGCCAGTGGAGTGGGGACCTGGGCCTAGAGATACTGTCTTGTAACCCTCCCCCCTTTTTTTTTAGTACCACATTAATTGCAGCAATATTTCTCACAGAGTTATCAAATTTAACTTGGCCCAGATATCTCTGAAGAAAAGCGTCACAGAGTCACATGGGAATAATTTTTCAATACTGCAATGTTTTGTGGCTCTGTCCTGGATGCTGTGATTCAGAGACGAATGATAAACTGACTCTAGAAGAAGTTGATGCAACTCTTCTCTTTATCATGTCTGAAAGGCATAAACATCAGCACAGAATTTAAAATTGACTACTGAAAAGGCAGACTATTTCCCTTCTGCTTCTCTGATTTGTTCCTTCTCCTGATTCCTCTCCAAATTTTAGTTGGAACTGCCTCTGCTTACTCAATTCAGTAAATATTTCCTTAAATGAGGAACTGTTTCAAATATAATCCAGCTCCTTCTGCCCTTAACCAAGATTAGGCTGTCAAATATCCTGACTATTTCAACCTTCTGAACATATCTTTAAAATATGACATGCTTATCTCAAGAAGAATGTATTCCAGCACTAGGAACTATGCTCAATACCTTGTAATAAACTATAATAGAAGAGAATGTAAAAACAATGGAATATAAATATTTGTATATATGTGTGTAATTGAATCACTTTATTGTATAGCTGAAACAACACAACAGTGTAAATCAACTATATTTCAATGCGGTTTTTTAAATAAAGAAATTAAACTGTGAACCAAGAAAAGAGCAAGAGACCTATTAAAAGAAGAGAGATAGAAAGAACTACCCAGTATGGGTAGTTCCATCAACTAATTCCACAGAGGAGAAAATGAGGTCCCGAGAAAGAAAGAGACGAACACAAGGTCACAGAACAAAACAGTGACAGAAATAAAGTAGAATCCAGTTTGTTCCTTCCAAAAGAAAAAATAAAAGAATACATTCCAGGACTTCTTTCCACGAAACAGTTTCCAAAATGAAGAACTTTCAGGTTAGGACAAGTGGCAGTAGGGAAGACTTTCAAAACTCTAGAGTAATGAGTCATCATTGGTACCTTTTTGCTACAAACTCTCAGAATCGACACCTCAGGATCCTACAAGAAGAAAATGAACACTGAACACATGATGCCTCTGTATTTATGGCCTGTCACTGGCTCAGATACTTGGGATGAATTTTTTAAATTAAGTTCAATTAGCAAATCTATGTTGAATATTTACTCTCAGCCAACTACTGTGCTAAGAGCTTTGAGAAGTATTAAAAAAAAAAAAGGCACAGCTGTCAAGTAATTTGCTGCCCAACTGGATTTAAACTGTGCATATAGGGGGACAGAAACCCAAATGAATGCTAAAAGACAGAGCGTCAGCAAACAAAGATCTAAAGGAGCTAAAATAGTTGAGAAGACAGGTTGGAAATGATTGTTTGACCAGAGAAAGGAGGGAATTCTTTCTTGAGAGAGTGGTAAAAGTTGAGGTATAAGCATAACATAAATGTTGGACATTTTAAAATGTGAACAAGTGACAAAAGACCAAACTTTTGAATGGATCTGGTAGTCTGATTCAAGAGCTGAAAAAAGGAATTTCAGAAAAACAAGTAAAAAATTTTTTCTATATTTTTCAGAATAGAAACAGCATATAAGTTACAGTTGATTAAGCAACTTTATATTCGTGGTTCTTTTTAATTCAGAATGGATTAGATACATAGAAACTTGGCTATGGTTCAATCATTGACTGAATCACGTTAAAATGAATTGGGCACCTAGGATGTGCCTTCTCTGTGCAGTTACATTAGAGCATCAAGCGGCCCTGTGTTAACGTCACCATATATACAAATAATGAAACTGACATTAGAGAGCATGAATCATTTGCCCACACTGGTAGAACAGGGATTGAATCCCCAGGTGTTAGACTACAAAACACATTTTTCCACTCCTGATTCTGAAATTTGTCCAGTAGTTGCTGTGTAAACTGAGTGGGATGCATATTGAAATCTGTGAGAGAGTATTATATAGACATCAGATTTCTCCAAGACCCTGTATTGCTGAGGTCTGCACTCCCTACCCCATGCCCTCTATACACCAAGCCATGCTTAGCTGCTCATTCATGTCTGATTCTTTGCAACCCCATGGACTGTAACCCACCTACAGTGGACTGTAAGACTGTAGCCCACCTACCCCCTGGAATGGAGCCCAGGCTCCTCTGTCCATGGAGATTCTCCAGGCAAGAATACTGGGGTGGGTTGCCATGTCCTCCTCCAGGGGATCTTCCCAACCCAGGGATTGAACCCAGGTCTCCCACATTGCAGGTGAATTCTTTACCATTTGAGCCACTAGGGAAGCCAATACTCTACTTACCATGGCTTTATGCTTGTGGTAATGTATGATGTAGCATATTTAGTCAGAAATATTCCATGTGCCAGAATTCACAACTGCACAACTGATTTTGTCTACTGTGGATTTCAGAGTATTCACTGTTGTGACAAATAAGGCCCAGTTGACTTGAAGATACTACATAAATAGATGACTAACTCGTTATTTAGTTGCTAAGTTGTGTCCTATTCTTTTGCAATCCCATGAACTGTTGTCCACCAGGCTCTTCTGTCCATGGGATTTCCCAGGCAAGAATACTGGAGTGAGTTGCCATTTCCTTCTCCACATAGATGATATATGATAGAAAATAAACAGACATGATACATAAATATGGTTTTAAACTTGGAATTTTATGAAGGCAACAAGTCTCTGTTAAGACTGGTAAATGTCTACTCTGTAAAGAATTCTGTACAGAAGACCTTGATGCTGGGAAAGATTGAAGGCAAAAGAAGAAAGGGGTGGCAGAGGATGAGATGATTGGACGGTATCACTGACTCAGTGGACATGAATCTGAGCAAACTTTGGGAGATGGTGAAAGACATGGGAGCCAGGCATGCTGCAATCCATGGGGTCACAAAGGGTAGGACACAACTGAGCAACTCAACAACAACAACACTACACATAAATACATACATATGTACATATAGAAATACATGTTTACATATACATACATATTTACATATTACATGTACAATAAATTCTACAAGATACATATCAATCTCCAGATCATACTCTCTAAGGAACTCATTAACAACTCTAACCAGGGTGGCCTAGGAAACAATTTGAATTAAAACTATGTTTTTCTTCCATGACTTGGGGACCCTCTTTTATACCCCATATTGTCTTGTTCTGTGCTGTTTTTACATGTCCATTTTTTTGGAGTCCTTACCAAATTCTTCATTGTTTGTCTGTGTTTTACTGACTCAAGTACAGCCTTTAAGCAACAAGTCTATTGACCAATTTCCATGGAAGCCTTCTGTGCTGGTTTTCTGCCTAAGCGCTATTCTTTGAGAAAGGCTGTGTCAGGTAGTAGGTCCCTATCTAGCCTGAGTCCTTTAGGTGAGTGGTTTGTTGTTGTCTCGTGTGTGTGTGTGTGTGTGTGTGTGTGTGTGAGGGGCGGGGGACAGTTCTCTCTAGCCTAACCAGTATTGTGTCAGTGTTCTGGCCATAAGAGAAGCATCTTAAGCACATTTTGATGGGAAGGATTACTTCCTGCTTGGAAACTAGACCAAAATAAATTTTCCATTATGCAGTATGGCATGATACTTCCTATCTAAAACTATTAAACACCACCCCAGAAGCCATAATGAAAGGAATTTGGTATTAAAGCCTACCTTGCCCAGTATCAAATGAATCACCAGAGAACTATATTTCACCTATCATACTAATTGAAATAAGAGGGTCTTAATATTCCTGAGACTAAGCATCACCAAATCTCCTGGATTTCTTGGGTAGCCCTGGCAGAGGAGGGAGTGGGGAGGTATTTTCCCCTTTACAATTCAACTTATTTTCTTCATTTGACAAGCTACCACATACACACTCCACCAGTGAAGAACAATCAGCACATTTACTGCACTCAACACCTAACTGTAACGTGTTCATACAGAAATCAATGAGACACTTCCTCTTCTGGTTTCGCATTCTTAATACTGGTCTTACACCATCCAATTTAGATTCTCTGGCTCAAGGCTTGGTTTGTTGATTTTGGCACTGAGAACCTACATGAGTAAAGGCAGGGTTTGACTTTTATATATGAAATGAATCCAAAATACAGCAAAAGGATGTTACCCTCCTCACTCATTTAGAAAACATTATTGACTGCCTTCTATGTACCAAGTATGTTAAGAACTTAAGTACTGATAGAAAAGGGCCAGTCTTTATCTTCAAATTTTTTGCTGCTTTTTGGTTTGGTTTGGTTTTCACAGGTAGCTAGAGAAAGAGACAATATACAAAGCAACATGGGGAGAAGTATGTAGGAGGATAAGAACCAAACACCTGACCTCACTCAGGTTAAGGGCAAGTTTATAAAGGAGGCAATGACTAGGCTGGTACATCTAAACACACATTACCAGATGAAAAAACCTCATAATATCCCATTCCCCTAAACTAAGTAAATTTGTATTAATTTACTAATATGTTATATACTGATAATTTGCTAAATTTATATATTGCATAATGTATACATATATATTATGTATGCTATATAGTACAATGTATAAATATATATTTTGTGTGCATGTGTGTCTGTGTAATTTGACAGTGTTTCAGGCACTTTACTTGGCAATGGAGAAATCAAAAAGAATATGATAAGATCTCTGATCTTAAAAAATTCATTGTCTGGTAATTGCTGGTTTTCTAACATTTGAGTCTCTGTGGAAAACATGTTTCAATTTCAAAACAAGTTTCACTTACTGCTTTTTCAGGGAATGACTTTATGTAACTTCCCCAATCTCCTAAATGAGAATTTCCAAGGCATCTGGAGTTGCTCAGGCCAAGAAACTCATCTATCTGGTTTGATGACTCCAGCCCTGACTGAATACAGTAGGATGTCCCACTATAAAGAGGAAAGCTCAGGCTGATAAACCAAATGGAAAAAAACCTGAATCATAGACAATGCTGTGGAATGCTGCTTGATGAAATTGTGCCAACTGAGGTAGCAAGAGTTTCCATTTGCTAAATAAAGAGTAAACATCCCTGAAGAGTTAGCTATAAGCATTTGGAAAGATAAGGCTTAAGTTATTTCAGGTCTTTCATCACCCAGCAAGCCTCAGGGAAATCTCTTTGGCTGAAAGTAGGGATGTTCTCCACCCAACACGTACACAGCCTCTTACATCCTCTCCTGGTCCCTCATCTCATGAATTCCTAGATTATGTCATGAACCAGCTGCTCGAGTGTCAATTTCCAATATAAACCATAAAAAAAGAAAATTATAAAGAACAAAACCAAGCAAAACCAAAACAGTCACAAAACTACTAAAATTCAAATCCAAATCTAATTCTAAAACCTATTTTTGTCATTCTGTCTTGATGCATCAATAAATACCTGAACTTGGCTTTAGTAGTGGAAGGATTTTACAGTGAGAAACAATTTACAACATTAAGGATTCTTATGTGCTTCATTTCTGAATATGATATCTACTAATATATCTTTTGAAGAAAAAGCTCTTACTGAATCGTCTTATCTTTTTCAAACAGGCACAATTTTTTGCTTTGTCTTCAATTGCAAATTCTTTATTTTATTCCTTCTTAGTCTCAAAATGACTCAGGTTTCCAGATGGAGCTGGAGTTGAAATCAAATTTTAAATTAGGATAAAAATAGCACTTGCTATTTCCACACTATACACACATGCACATATATATATAGCATACATTTATTTTTAATTTTATCCTTTGTATTAACTGAAGGATGAGAGTAATAATAGAGTCAGATAGAGTATTAATTAAAAGAGAAATTTAGAGCCAAGTCAAGTTGTGGGAACCCAAGGATGGGATAGTTGAGTTTCGATGTAGAAAATAGAAGTCCCAGAAGGCTTAAAGAGAAGATAGATAGGACAGTAATTGTGGTAAAGGTGATAGATGATTTCAACAATTATTAGAATCATTCATGAACATGCTGAAAACACAAAGACTTGTGTGCATATTCTCCTGGTAGTAACAATGTTGACAGCAAGCACAGCATAAAGAACAGCTGCCTTTGATTGAGCACCTTCTGTCTTTTAGGTAGGAGTTGATCAGCCCATAATAATGACTTGACCATACTGATTTGAAGTCAACAAGGTGAATGACACTTTTTAGGTTCAGAGTGAGAAATATGTAAATTCATCATCAAAATTGTATTTATTTGAACACATGAAGCTTGTGGTTTGCAAGTGGATGAAGGGACAAGAAAACTAACATGGCATGGACTTCTGAAATGAATGAGCTAAGGAAAGGAGAAATGGTTCCTGTCTTTCCAAGTCCAGCCTTCCTTTGTTTACCTCAGTCTCATACAATGACTTAAAGCTAGTGGACAGGGGGAGGCAAGAACTTCGCAGCTTATGCAACATTTTGCAATGCTGCTCTGCAACATTTTGAGGTAGGAAAAAGCTTCTGGAGAGCACCTTGGTGAGACAAAAAGCTCAGCCACGCCGTCAAGGCTTCCAGATTCTGGGTTTGATTCTTTTCACTTAACTACCATATGTGACATAGAAGATGTGGGGGGAAAGAAAAAAAAAAAAAAAACCTCTTTGGGCATTAGTTCTTCTGTTAAAAAAAATTGTAAAGTGCATTCCAAACTCTAAAACCCTATAAAAATGTGACATACTTGGTAAGCTTTCATGCCTTTGCCACTCCATACTTTATGACTTATTTTTTCTGTTACATAGTTTCATGTGTGTTTCTGTACACAACCCACCCACCATCACACACAGATACACACACACACACACACACACACACACACTATAATTTTATTCATTTCCCACCACGTAATAAAATAGCCAAAATTCTTAAGTACTTATTTAGTTGCTATGTTCACACACAATGAAAAAGGCAGAAAATTTGGACACTTTTGAATCTGAAGTTGAAACTAAGTATAACCCTGTTCCTCCTGCGCTTGGTGCTGACACTACCTAGTATAATGTAAAGGCCCATTTGTGTCCCCTGCCTCCTCTTTGTAGAAAAGTTGAAATCTCCCAGGCTTCCTTGAGACACAAAGGAGCAGGTTCAAGCAGTTAATTTGTAAAGGAGCTCTGTTTAACTGGCTTAAAGAAATTTAAGTGCTTACAAATCAACAAATTCTAAATACAAGAGAAACTAACCTAAATAAATTTCAGGTTCATGTGATCTGGGAAATATTGAATATTAAATTAATGCCTGGTATGACTGTATAAGTTTGTTAATCTAATTAATATAGACATACCTTAGAATCACCAACCTTAATTATAACACATTTTATTATGCCAAGGTTTAATATAAGCTAAATAAAATCTTGTTTCATCTGTTACAAATTTGTCAGCAAGGGAAAGTAACTTGATATGAAGAAATTTTAAGGAAAAAAAATACAAATAAGAGCTTTATGTGAACTTTTCAGGAATAAGTTTTAGGAATGTTTAGGAACGTCTACTTAAGAATAATCTCTTCAAGTATTTGACAACTTAAAATTTAGAGCTGTGCTAAATAAAGTTACATGAAGGAAGTTTATTGAAAAATGAGACCATTGCTAAATAAAATAAGATACTGAAACATTAAATACTGGACACCGGCTTCCTTTTACAAAGAAACAAAAACACATTAATAAATGTGGTTGGCGCTACACTATTTTCTGTAAGAAGTACATTTTTTAAAAAAATTTTTATTTGGATTTATGTTTACTAATTTTTAACTATTTCTAATGTTTACTAATATTTAATTACTAATAATTACTAATTATTATGTAGAGTGCTAATAAAAGACAGCTCATGATTGCTTAAGGAAAGTAGGATGTATCTTTTCAGTGAAGAAAGCATGAGAAATGGGATCTATTATTAAGGGAAAAGGTAGTAAATGACTTCCAGTTGGCTGTTTTTTGTGGGGTGATTTTTCAGATGGTAAAATAAAGTGATGGTACAGAAAGTGGTAAAAATGTTTGTAGAAAAGGACCCTAAGAGTTTTGTGCATGGCCAGGATAGGCAAAGTTAAAAATAAGTTTAATTGAGAAAATAAATTTTGAAAAATAAGGTGGTACAAAACTTGAATTTGGGCTTTTATCTCCATTAAGAGGACAAGATTTTTTAAAATACTGAACTGCCTTTGATAACAGATTTTAAGTTCTTTACCTTTTAAGTGATCTGCTCTGTATTTGCCTTTTAAATCTTATATTGTTACCTTTATCTCAGTGGATAACTGTCTCATAATGACCTGTGATCCTATCTGACTGAGTGTTCTAAACCCTTTTAGTTATTTTTATGATAAAACTTCTCAAGTCAAATCATAATGAAGCTTCTTTGACATTTAGCTAACTTTGGGATGCTTCAGAGGGTCCCTGAAACATCACAAAGGGAAATATTAAATTCAATAGATTGGCAGGTTAAATTATATGTTGTTATTGTTCTTCAGTCACTAAGTCATGTCTGATTCTTTGAGACCCCATCAACTGCAGCACACCAGGCTTCCCTACCTTCGCTATCACTGATCATAGCAAACACCCTCTTCCAACAACACAAGAGGCAACTTGACACATGTATATCACCAGATGGTCAATACTAAAATCAGATTGATTATATTCTTTGCAGCCAAAGAGTGAAATGCTCTATACCGTCAGCAAAAACAAGACCTGAAGCTGACTATAGCTCAGATCATCAACTCCTTATTGTAAAATTCAGATTTAAATTGAAGACAGTAGGGAAAACCAATAGGTCTTTCAGGTATAACCTAAATCAAAACCCTTATGTTTACACATGGAGGTGACAAATAGATTCAAGGGATGAGATCTGGTAGACAGAGTGTCTGAAGAACTATGGACAGAGTTTTATAACATTTTACAGGGGGTGGTGACCAAAAGCATCCCCAAGAAAAAGAAATACAAGAAGGCAAAGTTGTTGTCTGAGGAGGCCTTACAAATAGCTGAGAAGAGAAGTGAAAGGCAAAAGAGAAAGGGAAAGATATACCCAACTGAATACAGAGTTCCAGATAACAGCAAGGAAAACAAAGCAAAGAAACAGAGAAAATGATAGAATGGGAAAGACTAGAGATCTATTCAAGAAATTTGGAGATGCCAAGGGAATATTTCATGCAAAGATGGCCACAATAAAGGACAGAAATGGCAAAGGCCTAATAGAAGCAGAAGAGATGGAAAGAATACACAGAAGAACTATAAAATGGTCTTAATTACCCAGATAACCACAATGGTATGACCACTCACCTAGAGTTAGGTATCCTGCAATATGAAGTTAAGTGGGCCTCAGGAAGCATTAACACAAACAAAACTAGGGAAAGGTGATGGAATTCCAGTTGAGCTATTTCAAATCCTAAAAGATGATGTGGTGAAAGTGCTGCACTCAATATGCCAGGAAATTTGGAAAACTCATCAATGACAACAGGACTGGAAAAGGTCGGTTTTCAATCTAATCACAAAGAAATTAAATGCCAAAGAATATTAGAGACTACCATACAATTGCACTCAACTCACATGCTAGCAAGATTATGCTCAAAATCCTTTAAGTTAGGCTTCAACAGTACATGAACCAAGAACTTCCAGATGTACAAGCTGGATTTAGAAACAGCAGAAGAACCAAAGATCAAATTGCCAACATTTGTTGGTTCATAGAAAAAGCAAGCCAAGTCCAAAAAACACATCTACTTCTGCTTCATTGACTACACTAAAGCCTTTGTGTGAATCACAATAAACTGTGTAAATTACATGGGAAGTATCAAATGAGTAATAAATCTTCTTGGGTTATGTCATATGGTAAATATTATTACTAAAGTAAGTTCTCTAAAAATTATATGGAACTCCTAA